GTGAAAAAGTACTTTGTCAATACGTCATTTTTTGAAAATTGAAAATGATGCTCATCGATGGTGAGTGGCGTTTTTCATATCGTCCTCGTCATTCTTCATCCCTTTTTTTCGATGTAAAATCAAGTGAAAACTTGTTTTTTTTTTTTCCCTGCGATCCTGGATATTCGTCTATGATGATAAAAATGACGATGAATGTCATTGAAACGTTTCAATTTTTGCGATAAAAACGTTGACAACATAGAAAATAAATCTGAAAACTATCGACTGTACAATTTTGCAAATTTCATTTAACAACCGAATCTATATAATATAGCCACGAATAGAGATTTAATAAAATATAATTAAAGAAAGGAAAAAAAAAAAAACGAAATAAAAAAGCTCGCATCATTTCAGGTAAAAGATCATTGCAGGATGGTCTCGTCATTCGAAATAAAATATGTATACTACGATGATAAAACTCGGTGAGATGTTTGATCGACAATGGAAAAAAAAAAAAAAAGAACCTAACGTATTGTCCTTTAATAAAACTGACCAACCAGTCCTAAAAGTCTTCCCGTAAAATTTCGAAGCCAGGCGAAAGAGTTTACACACGAGATCGGGTCAGATAATAAGAGGATTCGTTTACGAGGGCTCGTAAAGCATGACGGACGTTACCAGGTGCGGAGCTCGTAAATATCAGTCGGCTCCGGGTCATGAATTTATGGACCGTCCGCGAAATCGCTGATAAGAATCGGTAAGTGTCCGGTCATTGCACCGGGTAAGGTGCAAATGCAATGTATTGAGACGATATCGGTTGCAAGACCAAATTGTAATTCCTTAAAATAGTTCATTCGTCGAGGAAATCGATTCACTTTTGAATTACAAATATAGATAACCTAATTGTACGCATAAAATTTTAATTTTCTTTCTATTATAATATTGCTGTGAGTGTGTGCGTACGTGCATATTATATTATTTTATATAGGAAAAAGAATAATATTTATCTATATTATATTACGTAGATTCATTTTTTACATTTAATACGAATAAAATCAAATATTTCTCGACCATTTTTCCTGCAAATGATAATGATTGAATGAATTTTTAAAAGAAAGATATTCAAACAATTTTCAATTAAAAAAGTATATTTGAACAAAAGGTAGAGTAACTACCGCTCGATATGACTATATTTTATACCTAGTTTTTTGCTCCGATCTTTCTCCATTATTGTAAAAAAATCTAAAATTGTTCTCGTTATTGGTATTCGTATGGTCACATTTTTGAGAATCCAAGAGATCTCCTTTAAATTTATTTGTTTTCGTTATCGAATCTGTCATGAAAGTAATAGTCTTCGAGAGAAGTGAAGTAACCTTTACGTTCGCTTTATGATCCTTCGTAACAAGTCCTGAAGGTTGTTTTCTGAAAACCGGAAGCCTTTTCAGTTTATCTCCGACCTTATGACGAAATCTGTCGATAGAGGAATAAAACTTGTCTGGCTTGTGAGTGAAAACATCGTAAATACTATTCCATGAAGGATCAAAGTAATCCATTGAATTTGTTCCTACATTCGATGCATATGTCGGATTATCATTTTTCAAAATTGACGACTCGTTTGAAATAGTCTCTTGAAGATCTTGACGATTTGTTACATCGCTTATGCTGTTTTTAGCATAAGGATCCTTGATATCAACAGAATTCGTAACACTAATACTATCCATCGTATTAAATTTCTTATTAAAATTAGTAGATTTCGAAGAGTCGAAAGTTTCATCGCTCTTATTTGTCTCGTAAATATTTGTTAAGTTATGAACATTCATTTTATCATTTTTAATTCCCGCTTGTGTTTTTTGCAATGATATTTCTTCGAAAATTTCCGTTCGAATGGTCGACAATGTACTAATCGAATTAGATTCCTCTATGGACGTTCTTGTAAAGTTAGATATTATTGTATTCGTTAAATTAGCCAAACTCGTGATTTTCTCTGTTGACATGGGTACTTCCATATTTCCACTTTCTGAACTTACCACTGTAGAAATTGTTAACGGTATCGTTACGTCCTTCTTATTATCCGACTCATTATAAATGCTAACTTTTGTTATCTCTTTGTCTTGACTACTATACATTGGATCGTTTGTTATTTCCATCATAACATCCGTATTTGTTAATAATTTATTTACTTGTTGAGAAAGGGAATATTTAATCATATTTTCCGAACAATCGACTTTCGTAAATCTTTCTACATTCTGTAAATCTTTACATAATGCAACGTTCTCACTATTATAATTTTCCATAATATCGTTCTTCACATTATTTCCTTGTGTTCTTTTATTAAACTCCGTACTAAAATATTCAACATTATCTTTCTTTTTTCCATTTTCATTCATCTTATTCTCATTTATACTTTCACGATGATCAACGTTGATACTTGTATTCTCAAAACGTATACTTATCGGTACTATATCGGAACTAAAATTCGTATTCATAAATTTCATTTTTATAGTATTATTTCCAATATCAGAAACATTTTTCATATTAGAAATATAACTGAAAATAAAATTATTATTTGTTACATTTTGAATTATCGAAAAATCGAATAAAATTTTATTACGATTGATATTATCAAAAACAAATCATTCGATCGTTATTTGAATCGTTCATCAATATTTCAAAAATATAATATTATTAATATTTTATTAACATATTTGCTCTTGATATATTAAATATCTTCAATGAATAAAATTAAAAAATCGAAATTAGTATTTGTATTATCTATTATTATTTTTTTACCTATTATTCATTCTATCGAAGGATTTCTTTGGTATCAGATTTTGTTCTAATCTTTGATAAGCTATGATTAAAAGTTTAAACAGACATTCCAGTTTCTCAGCGAAAATCGAATCTTTCTCTTGTGCATTACGTAATAACAACAATCTTGCCCAGTCAGATCTCAAAATACCAAAGGGTAAAGCCGTAACTGGACATTCAAAACCAATGATCATCGAATCGATTGTAGGTACATTTGCTAAATTCAATGTAGAAATGTATTCCTCTAAATTGGCAATATTCAATTTCAAACATTGGTCCTGTAATGATAACGGCCTTTCTTCTGTAAGTAATAGAACAAGAAAACGAATCAAAGAGATAAAAAAACAAACAAACAAACAAACAAAACATAACAAAAATAGTAATGATCTTTAGGACGAAAGTTCGAAGGAATCATTAACTGAAGAGAATGAATTAACTTGTCCAAAAGATTTACTCATCTCTCTTGATAAAAAAAAAAAAATAAAATAAATCATTTGTCTCTCACATTAATATATATAAAAAAAAAAAAAAAAAAAAGAAAAAAGAAATTATATGTCCCAATTCTTTACATTACGATTCACATTAATTTATCCAAGTTACAACCATTATATTTTTAATCAAAATAAATTTTATCCACATTTACGACATTCACCGTACGAAAATCTTCTCAAATCAAATAATAGATTGAGATAACATAAATGTTTATTTTATTTAAAATAACGATATTTATTAGAACGAAAAACGACGTAGATATTAATCAATAAATCAAACGAAATGATAACACTCACCGTCATTTGCTATGGCAAACGAAAGGAAAATATTAGAGAAGATAAAGAAGGATACTAATCGGTGCATGACTATCGGACGAACTGCGGAAAGTCAGGCACTATGTATATTCTATTTCATTCGAATCGGCACTTCCTCAATGCAGGAGTTGGCAACATTTTTTCTCACTCGCTCATCGCCGACGACAATTCATGCTTACCATGTGAATAATTCACTATATCCATCAGTTAGTGTGGCAAACATTGAACGAACTATCATATTAATTATATTCTTACAAGCAAGAAAGAAAAAATTATTCGATTTTGTATAATTCGTTCGTATAAATTTCTAATCTTCATAAAGAAACTATATCAGATGAGATAACGAAACGATTAGAATTGATGAAAAAGAAATTCCATGCAACATTTTTTTTTATTTTCTCGTGTCTCCTGACAGATATTTCTATCTTACATAACACATTTTTCATCCGGACGAATAATTAATCGCAACTTGTACGAATACCCTGGCGTACAAGTTCGATTCCAATAATATTTAGGCTGTCACTTGATTTTCTTCATTTTTTTTTCTTTTTTCTTCTTTTTGTTTTTTTTTTGTTTTTTTTTTGTTTTTTGTTTTTTTTTTACAAGATAGCCGATGATCTCTCATGTGTTTGTTCGACTACACTTTTCTCTTCGTGTATGTATACATATAAAAATTATATTATATATTTATATATATATATTTATATATATATATACATATAAATATATATATATATACATATATATATACACACATATATAGACCTACTATAATACAATTACAAAGTAATTACATACATATTTATAATCGTCATAGAAGCGGCATTTAAATTCTACAGGCATCGTTTTTGATGGTGAATTTCAAAAGAAGATCTAAAGATCAAAGCATAATTGAGAATTTATTGATTGGAATAGATCACAGATAAGAAGCAGATATTATACGAATTTTAAACTGTCTTTAGATTTTCTTCAAACAGAAAACATCAATTCTTTTTTTTTTTCTTTTTTTTTTATCGCTTATTTACTATTAACATCCAATATTTTTAACGAAAAACATTATATCTTTTTATTCAACTCCTTCGCCTTATATTAAATAAACATAATTTTATTTTGAACGTGCGCGATATCTACACATGAAATACTAATAATCCTAAATTCAAGGTTCATTCGCATTCATCTTCAAATCCATCTTATAAATGATGCCTGTTACAATATAAAAATCTCAAAACTGGTACTAGCGTCTTTCGCCTTCTTTATTTATACTATATATTTACACTTTATAAAGGGGCGATATTGTACACTGACAACAAAAGAAAAAAATCTATGTCATCTTCAGCGTAGCGTAATAATGTATATATAGAAAAAAAAGAAAAAAAAAAAAAAAAAAAAAAAGAAATAAAAGAAACATAATTTAGCTAGGATCGTATCCTTGTTAATTTCAATACTTGTTAATTTCAATAATCTCTTCTTTACACCAAATACGAAATGTACATATTACATACACATCTATTTAATCGCTCTATTGTAACAAAAATAAATCAATTTCATCCTTTTTTGTCTGTTCTTTGAAAAGAAAAATATGCACGTTTGAATAATCAATGTCCGAACACGAAGAATGATTTGAAGCCAAATACGCGGACGGATAAAATGAATAACGATTTTGAAAACAAATAATCAAAATCCCCACTTTATTTGGGCAAAAATAGTCGATCATTCTTAATTCCTTAACACAAAAGAATTTTACTTATGCCGGATTTTCTCTTTCTTCCATTTGCATATACGCGTTTCCTTCTTTCTTTTCTTTTCTTTTCTTTTCTTTTTTTTTTTTTTTTTTTTTTTAATACATAAATAATTTCCATCTTCGTAACACATAAGCTTCATTATATAACATAGTAAGTTACAGCATTAATCGTCTCCTTATCGTTATCGTTATTAATATTATTATTAATGTTATAATTATTATTCTTTTTATTATTACTATTATTATAATGTTTGCTTCACAAATATATTCGCATTCTTAACTATTTGTATGTGTCGAGGTTTGTATCGTTTGTTTATTTGTTTGTATGCAACCCTGAGACTACGATTCTATGCCACGGCGAATGAATGATGATTAAATAAAGGAGGGTGGGAGGGGAAAAAAAAAGAAAAAAGCTTACGAAAATTGTAGATTTCTCAATTTCAAAAAGGGGAACCATATAAAAGTCGGTTTCATAAAAATACATCTTCGCTTTTATGTCGAATGCTCTGATTTAAGAAAATATTTCTTCAATATTCTTACCCGTTCTTTTCCGAATTTTTAATAGTTCAGCGCGTCTGACATTTAATAGTTCAATATCATCGCACTATGAAAGATTTACATATATCGCATCTTATTGTCGGATTTATAATAAACGATCGTATATATGATAGATACATTGAATTCCACTTGAAAATAATAAATCACATAACGAATCGGATTATCAAGATATAACAAAAGCTGATCAACGACGCGCGAATTAAGCTAAGCTTTATGAAACACCACCCTTATCGCCAAATCTGGTTAACATAGTTTCACCATGCGCGATAATAGAAAAATTAATTTATCGTATCGATTTTTATATACATGGAAATAGTTCATAAATTATTATGAAACCAACTTAAGCAGAACAAAAAAAAAAACGAAAAAAAAAAGCAAAACAAGATAAATTCATATCAATATATTACAAGATCTCATAAACTAAAACGTTCGAATTTTTACGAAACGCCAATAATTTCACAAAATAGAAAAGCCAAATATTGTGTAAATATCACAGTCTAAAGAAGAAACATTTTCACATTGATAAAGACGAAAAGGAAGAGCGCGACAAATGAATTGATGTTAGTTAAATCGAAAGTATAAAACTTATAAGAAAAGTTAATATAACAACTGAATAATAATTTAGTTATCGATAGGAAAAAAAAAAATTTCATTTGCAAGAGATACAGAAAAAATTTCTCTTGCGTCAGTCCTTTTCGTTGATTACTTTCAATTTTTCTTTTTTCTGTTGGCATCTTAAAGTGAAATTTATCCATGGAGAAAAAAAATCGAACTATATATATACATATATATACATATATATATATATATATATATATATATATATATATATATATATATACATATATATATATATATGTATTTAAAAAATGAGCCACGTAATGAACGAGAGAGAAAAAACGTAGGAAGCTGCAAAGAACACAGATAAAATTCGCCGTGGCTGAACAGCCATGTTTTCATTTCATTTATTATGCTATCTACTTCATGACAAGGAACAAATCATCAAGCAGGAAAACTTGAAAGAACTTATACGAATAAGATATGGGAAGTCAGTATCATGAAATATTCATCGTGCGTAAATGCAGGATAGATGAAACGTTGTAAGATAAAAGGACAAGAAGGAAAAGCAAGGTCAAAATAAAGGAATAACGCCACATTTCCATGATTTGGATAATGCAACGACGCGAATGAACAATATATTGCACCGTAAAAGTGACGATATAGACATACGATACGACTACACCATTATGCATAACATTTTCACCGTTTCTTCGAACGACTTTTTGTACGTTACTTTTAATTCGATAATATTTTCTTTCTTTCTTTTGTGCAAAAATTTATTGCTCGTATCTATATTGTCAAAAAAAAAAAAAAATTAATTTTACGAATTTTTCCGATACATCACGAAAATGGATATATAAATTTCAAATATAACAAGGAATAAGATCGATTATTCCTTACGAATAAAACTAATTTAATTTCTTATATCGTTCTTTAATTTCACGGGAATATAATGAAAAAGGAAAAAAAAAATACAAATATCAGTGAAAATGTTATGGCAAACTAATGCTAAAGAAAGCTCTATAAAATAAATTTATATTCGGTTGTTTCAATTCGTACTGAACTTTCACGTCAGAATAGTAGCTCTTGTTACATAACGAGTTTCCTTCCATAGAAGCAGTACTATGCACACGTCCCGCACGCGATACTCATAACGGTAATAACTAGATAATAAAGATCCCTGAATATATATATATATATACACACACATATATATACATATATTCTCCTACACTTTTGTGTGGCACGCGCAATATTTTTGCGATCATTTTAACAAACAATTAAACTCCCCTTTTTTACTCTCATGAACCTGGCAACCTGGCCAAAGTCCGTTCTTAAAATATATTCCTAATGTATCTTATACAAAAGAAATTTAAAAAAAAAAAAAAAAAAAAAAAGAAAAGAAAAGAAAGAAAAAAAAAGAAAAAAAAAGAAAAAAGAAAAAAAAATAAAAAAAAAACAACGTGGCTCTAATTCGAGAACGATCCAGTCATTCTTTCTCTTTCTTTTTATCTTCTCCAACTTGATCAACCCTATTCCTATCACTGGTTTTATTTGTACAACGATACGCCCTAAAGGTTTAAAGTGCCGTAACTATGGATGTTCGATACATCTAGCTTAAGTTTTAATTATTATTACTTTCAACATTAATTCCACCTATAATGCCAAGTAAACATTTGTATTATCTTTTTTTTTTTTTTTTAAATTATTAGCGTTATACATGTACATTCCTCTTGCTAAACTAACCGCCAGAAACGATATATGAATTCAGATTAATGACAAACATGAAATGATTAGCGTATCTCTATTGCAAATATGTAACATCAAACACCCACAGTTTATCAAACACCACAATTACTAAACTTCGATCTGACTTGTACGATCATTGACTCGATGTCACGATCATAATGATCAAGTGTGTAAACAAAAACATATTTATTTGGTAATGCGATCTATCGATCAACAGACTATATACTATCCTATAATGATACCTCTAAACGTAGGCTCCTCGCATTTTATTCTCTCCGCGTTTTATGCTGAAATCACATTCCCTTTCCTATACCTGTAAAAGGGGTACTTGAAAAGGAAAGCTTGGTTACTTTAAACAAAGACAGCTAACGGTATCTCAGAACTATACGCAAGGTTCGATGATCGTTGGGAAACACTGGTCGAAATCACTCCACGCTTCACCTTTGAAAAATAAAGAACTTTTTGTTCGCGAGTCTGTTCGAAAAAAAAAAGAACAGAACTGCACTGTTCCTCTCACTTATCACTCACTTGTCATTCCCTTTAGTTTCGAAAACGTGAGTAACACCTTTATTATTTCCGCGTGATGTTTATTATACATCGACTATTAATGATAACTTTGACGAACTCGTTCGATTTCAATGATAATATTCGACCAGGTTCTAGTTGTTTCATCGATAATAGGCAGCTTCCAACATCTCTACAAAGAGCTTGTTCATCGGCACTTTGCCCGTTCTATAAACACTCGACCAAAATCTCCTTACAATTCCATCGGCCTGTCTAAGACTAGGCAGTATTAGGAACATGTTTTGCGTAGCACGTAACGCCTGTCCTGGCCTTACGGCTGCTACGCAGTCCGAAAGGGAATTCAATATTGCGTCGCGGAAACGATATAGAGCTTGAGGTTCGTCCGATCTCGCGTCGCTATTCGCCAGAATCAATGCCTTCAGCACATAATATTCTTCTTTGATCAAACCCAATCGTTGAATCCTTTCTACGATCTGGATGCACTATCATAAACAGTAATGATAAAAGAAATGTTATTGGAATTCAAAAAAATCATTTGTATCATATTCATTCAAATTCCATTTGATAAAACGAACTTTCTTTTTATTTCGTAATCAACTCATAGTTCTACTTACATGCGTATATAGCTCTGTACAATGGCATTCACGTGCCAGACGTTCATCCAAGCTGAAATCTTGAGCGAACCACAATCTGCCATTATTAGGCATACTTCTCCACGCTAAACTGAAAGTTAGAATTTCCGCCCATGTACTTTGTAGAAGCCGCATTTGATCGTTTAAAGCTAAACTGCTGAACCCCGGTATTTGCTTAGCCCAACCTTTTAAATAAAATCCATATTTTATATTATAAAACGTACAGTTTATCGCGCAAAATATTTTATTATTCTAATAATAAATTACCGATAATTCCAACTAATTCGCGATCATATAAATCCGACAACTGTCCCAGTATCCTTTGATCTGTATCCAAAGTGTGAGAAAGATTCGATACTTGTAAAATATCGGGTTCGCACGCAGCTAGAGCTTCGACCATTTTGTTATCTATAAACACACATATATAGCTTTAACTAATTCACGTAATGTCAAACATCTTGTTATAATCTTATACGTTCTACTTGATATTACGATATCCAGTTTGCTTTCATTTAATATAAACCAGACTTAATAAATATTCTGCAGCTTACTTATTTGTTCCCCAGATCCTCCGGATGCTACGCTCGCTTGAAATATTAAAAAATCTTTGTTTATATGAACGGATACTCGAACTGATTCTAAAGATTCTTAAAATGGCATCAAAAGTCCAAATGAAGGTACATGGTAAATAACATTACCTTCCAGAGTAGCCGTTTTCACAGGGATGTAAGGATCCGTAGATCTTCTGTATTTTTGCCTGCCACCTCTAACCCGATCCAATCGCACACCTTCCTTTAGCATTCCCTGACGAAGACACTTTTGAAATCTGCACGCCTGGCACGCCTTTCTTCTACGTTTATTTATTTCGCATTCTCCGTTTGCCGGGCAAGTATATTCAATGTTACCTGTAAAGTTACTCGCTATTTTATCGTAATATACATGGCCTTGATCCAGATAGTACCATTATTAAACATATCGCAACGTTTAATTAATATATAAAATTTATTGGTACTATCTGGTAATATCAAATGATAAAATAATCGAGTTTTGCTATAATCGAAAAAGAACGTGAAACTTTGTTTACCTTGTATAGTCCTTTTAAAGAAAGCTTTGCATGCTTCGCAAGATGCAACACCGTAATGGAATCCACTTGCAACGTCTCCGCAAACGAGACATAATCGCCTGGGCAACATGTCTTCCTCCTTGATGCCTTCCTAAATAATAAAAAAAAAAAATACGAACTTTATTTCGAAAGTTTATAATATAAAATACAATATATAACGATCATGTCTTGCATTTTTAGTAATACCTCGGGAGTTCCTAAAGGTTGAGTCGTTGATGAACAGTGATGCATCTCTGGACTACCTGGACTTCCACTACCAGCGCCTCCATTTCCGCTACAAGCACTGCCACCACCACCACCACCACCACCACCACCACCACCGCCGCCGTAATCAGGCGGCACATCCATTTTTGTGCAAATTGCCTACAAATAATGTATCATTATTGTTGTACTGATATTATATTAATCAATTTTTAAATTTCTTATTATAAGCTACAATGTTTTACCTCCTGATTTTGCAGTGTAGTGGTCGGTGAACAAACTTGATAGTTTTGCGTAGGCGTGGCGGGGTTGTCGACTTCTTGTTTAATGTTTGGCATGGTTCTGTTGTAGCATATCATACCTTCGGTAGTAGCGCCAGACATCATACAAACCTGCAAAAAAAAAAGAAAACAAAATATAAGTAGTAAAGGGGGCGAAGAAAAAAGTGAAAAGAAAAGATTCGGCTCGAAAAAAAAATTATTGCTTTCTCTCTCCCTCTCTCTCCTCTCCCTCCCTTCCTCTCTCTCTCTCTCTCTCTCTCTCTCTCTCTCTCTCTCTCTCTCTCTCCTCTCTCTCTCTCTCTCTCTCTCTCTCTCTCTCTCCTCTCTCTCTCTCTCTCTCTCTCTCCTCTCTCTCTCTCTCTCTCTCTCTCTCTCTCTCTCTCTCTCTCTCTCTCTCTCTCTCTCTCTCTCTCTCTCTCTCTCTCTCTCTCTCTCTCTCTCTCTCTCTCTCTCTCTCTCTCTCTCTCTCTCTCTCTCTCTCTCTCTCTCTCTCTCGTCCTTGCAGTCAGTTGCACTTTTTTCAATCGCTATTTTTAATACGACCAACACCGTGAACATTTTTAGAATCGACTTCAGAGAATTCGCGGTTGGGAGAGGATGTCCATAACGTTGCTCTCGCAACGTTCGAGCCAGGCTCTAGAATTGAAAAAAAATATTTTTCAACCGCGCTCTTCGTAATTAATCTCACACCATCGGCCTTTCTCTATAGCTCTTCTCGACTATAATTTTCTCCTAAAATCTCTTTCTATTCGTATCGACGACAAAATAAAACATCTCCAAATGATTCGTTATTAAAAAGAGAGACAAGAATGGTATTACATATACTATCGTAAAATGATAAATGAAATCTACTTGAGTAGATTAAATCTACTATAATCAAGAAAAAATCTTGAGAAAAAAGTAAACGATTTCCATATTTTAGAGAATTAATCGGACGATCGAATGCTCAACAATAAATAGAATCATTACATATTTACATGTTTACATGTTTACATGTTTACATGTTTACATGTTTATATGTTTACATGTTTACATTTACACGTTTACAGTTCAATAATAAGCCTTTATGTACATACTTATTTTTTGTAATCTCGTCAAAAAAAGAAAAGGAAAATGGATGGTGCAAAGCATCTTGCATTTAATCGTCTGCTCAGAGATATGTAGATACGCGTAAGAATAAGAACGTTCCCGCGCCATCTGGTTGACCTTGAACTTAAATTTCTTTTTTTTCCTCCCTTACGCAGTCGAACGGTCTCGAGCGAAGCGTCATGAAGAACAACTTTTAAAACTGCGACGAATGGACTTGGAAAGATGGTCCCTTAAACAAGCCCTAGCTAGGTTCCGTGAACAAAGTAACGGTGAAAGGATTGCGTAAGCCTTCTTCTCTTTCCTCTTCCTCTCCCCATACATCTTCACCTCCTACTCTTGATCTTCTACCCTCTCCATCTTCCTCCTCATCCTCCTTCATCTCCAACTTCAATCTCTCCCACCACCACCGACACACATACGGTGCCGTAGTTTAAGCTCAGAAAAGAGATAGAGGAACGCAGGATATCTGGTTGAACTTGAACTTGACTTCTCAGATGAAATGACGATCGCATTCATACGATTCAGAGTAGCCTAGAATGTGTGACCTTATAACTCTCTCTATCTCTTTCTCTGCATTATTTCCCTCAAGAACGTAATATTTAATTACCACCTTATACACACTCGCACGAGCTACATACAATTCTGCACTATTTCAACTATTTCCCTTTCTTACGCGTTAAAATTTAATCGACTATAAAATACATATAAGTCATTGAATCAAAAAATCTTCTTAAACCCGCAAATTAATATATTGCTTAGGCGAGCCATCATCTATAACTGAACATTTTCGAATTCTATAAAAAAAAGAAATTATATAATGTGACAATTATAATATTACTTTTTTTTATAATAATATTATATTGCACTATATTAGAAATAATATAACTTTGCATTAAAAAAAAAAAAAAAGTGACTTTGAAGTTACATGGCGTTGTTGAGGCTCAATGAAAAAGAACTTATAACGTAATTGTTTCGATGTCCTTTAAGGAAAATTTTCTTTTGTATCCATAAAATGTCAAGATAAGATCAACGATCGATGATCGATGATAAAAGCGAAGAATTTTTCACGCGATACCGATCTAACACATCTATTATCCGATTCATATGATTGCCGAGAAAAATTATAAACGAAGATTGCATAATGAAAGCGTGTACTTGAGTCTTTATTAGAGCATAGTATGAAATTAAATAGAAAAGGAAACTAAATGGAAAGATAATAAAAAGATGCTTGGACTCGTCAGGTTTCTCCTCCCATTTCCACAAAAGCGTTACGTTATCATCTATGCTTGGATTATTTCTACCGGCAATAGAATTGAATCCTACATTATGTCGATATTGTTATGACACAATAAAATAAATATTTACGAGTTTCTATTAAATACTCTATATATATATATATAGAGTATTATATAATATATAGAGTATATATATATATATATATATAAAGAGTATTTAATATATATATATATACTCTATATATATATATATATATATATATATATATATAGAGAGAGAGAGAGAGAGAGAGAGAGAGTATTTATATACTATATATATATATATTTAGAGTATTTAATAGAAACTCGATCGAATTTCATGAACTTATTGATACACAGCTTATGAAAATTTCACAAGAAAATTTGCTATAACAATGAAAACAAATTTTATCTATTCTTGATAATACAAAAAATTCTTTGTTCAATGTTACATAAACATGTAAATAAAGTAATAATCATAATGTATATATTTAAAGCGTCACATTTGAATCTCGATACCTCAGAATAATTGAAACTGTTAACGACATTAAAAAAAAAAAAAAAAAAAAAAAAAAAAAAATTATTATAAATCTCCAAATTTTCTCACATATCATTTTCAATACGACCTTATCATATGACCATTTTCATAATTACCTTGAAATATTGACAAAAAAAAAAAAAAAAAAGAAAAGTGCATACATTTAAATACATCCATGATTTCAATTATTACAAATATTTATAAATTTAGTATTTACATTTACAATGTATTATAATGTATACATCTTATATCATAGGCATATATTAACTTCATATATTAAAGTATTGCATATATATGTCATATTTAGGTAAAGGTATATCTAAACTATATTTCATTGATGGCTCTTCGATGTATCTAACAGAGGCCCTACGTGTTACTTCGAAAGAAAAGTAACGGGGAAAGGATTGCGTAAGATGCATCCTCTCTGTCTCCCTCTCTACCGTCCTTTCTCTTTCTCTTTCTCTCTCTCTCTCTCTCTCTCTCTCTCTCTCTCTCTCTCTCTCACTATCTCTTTCTCCATTCCTCGATTTCCCCAAGCAACCCTTTACTTCACTCTTTCCTTGTTCGATCGCAGATTAAATGATCGCTGGAAGCAAGACGCAAGAGAGACGAGAAAAACGATGAGACACGACAGCACACGCAGAGAGCTATCTGTGGTTGGCCTTGAACTTGACTTTTCTGCGTGTGCAAGGAAGAGAAGGGGTGAAGGGGAACGATACGAGAATGAGAGAGAGAGAAAAAAAAAAGAGAGAGAGAAAGAGACACGGCCGCGTAGCGAAGGCCGCAGAACAGCGCCATCGCAAATTTAGATACCGAACGCCAGCGGAAATGGCCGACTACGACGGCCTTGACGTTTCTCTCCCTCTCTCTATCTCTCTCGCTCTTTCTCTCTTTAACCTTCCCCTCTACCCTTCTAATGCCTCCAGCGACAGCGCCCAACGCTTTTCAGTCGTCTTCTTCGTCGCGTGCCTTTTTCTATCTCTTCTAGCATGCTCTTTCTCTTTTTTTTTTCTCATTCGTCCTCTCTCTCTCTCTCTCTCTCTCTCTTTTTCTCTCTCTTCTCTCTCTCTTTTTCTTTCTCCCTCTCTATTTTTTCCTTTCTCTCTTGCGAGCGCCCACTGACTTCCGCTGCTATCAGCTTCCGACTGTCTGGCTGAGAGATTCGCATAAATCTTGACACCATCGATTTCAAAATACTTTGTCAAGTAACAAATATACGTGCATATTTATGCATCCATATATATATATATATATAAAATTTATTATAATAAATATACACAATGTGTAACAATATATATATATATATAACTAGTCCATCATTTGAAGATCCAGAATTTAGTAAGCAAAAATAATTAATAAAATTTCTATAAACATCTTATTCTGTTCGATATTTTTTTGTCTTCCAATAATTCTTTTATCTGACCGATTGATTATTACTCTGACAGAATATTGAAGAGTTATGGCCCTGAGATTTGTACATCAGTCGTGTATTTTTTATGAGGATAAATCGACAACTGGTACGAAATAATAATTAAGAAAATAAAAAAAGAAAAAAAAAGAAAATAAAAAATAAAAAGAACATTATAACCGTGTAAACAAAGGAAAGACAAGCTTTTTTTAAAAGTTCTTTTTTTTCTGACGTCACGTCCATATATTTATATTACATCCTGTATATTTGATTGTATTTGAATATATTCGATAGGAAACAATTTATGAAAATATTGCTGGCTCAATTTTAATAAAACGACTCGGATCAAATGCATGCAAAAGCTGTAAAGCTCCCAAACGGGATAGAAGAAAAAAAATTCTCTTCTAAGCACGTCCGCTCGTAGAGACGAGACGTTTTTACATGTTCTTAAAATACATACACATATAATCGAATATAGGAGGGAGTCTTTCGAAAGTAACCGAGACATTGATATACGTGCGATATCATCTTTATGTAACCTAGAGATTGAGAGGAACGGAATAAAAATAAAGAAATTAAAAAGAAGAAAAAAGGAACGAAAAAAAAAAAAAAAAAAAAAAGAAAAAGGAAAAAACACGCAGAAAATTTCATGAGATTTGCGATTAATTTCTCGGTTAGATTATTCCCATTTACAATTACTAATTGCTTCGAGTTTATCGTACGGAAGAAGGTTTTCTTTCATTACGAGTCGTTATCGTTTCCGCGTTAGAAACAATTAAGTCAATCCTGTAGATTATCTTGTAAGTACTAAAGTCTATTCGTGAATACGTGTTGAGAATTAAAAGTTGTATTATATGATAATGATTATGAAAAACTTATAAAGTGACTAAGATATGTTTGAAAAAAAAAAAAGATTAATAATGGAATAAACGTTCCATTTTTATTTTATATTACATTAAATCAAAGATATTAAATTAAAACCTATATATGTATGTGGATTGATTTCGAAATAATTTTCATGTCAATAATAATGCCTAAATGAAGGATCTAATAAATTCTTGTTCGTGTTAAGATCGAGTAACGCGATAGATACGAACTACAAAGAGTTAATTGGAATTCTAACTGGTTGCCGCACCATGACCGACAGAATTACATGTACTTAAAATCCCAACTATACGCATAAGCAAGAAGGTTATACGTCACCGATGGCGTAACTCGCATCACGATTTTACGCTATACCTACTTAAAATCGCTCTTTATTTCTGTTCATCGTTCGTAGTTTCGCAACGATTTGTTCTCATACCTCCGTGACGTAAAGTTTCTTCTTCTTCTTCTTTCATTGTAATTATTATATTAACGCGTTTAACCTAACTCAAGAGATATTTCGTTTGGCTTTATATGATCAAATTATATATATATATATATATATATATATATATATATAAAAAATGGCTTCTTCGCGCGACACATGGCACATTAATATTTATAATATTAGAATTTTATTTATAATCATTCGACGTGGATTACGATAAAATAATGATTAATGAAATAATCAGTGAATAACATAGTGCACGAAAATGTGAACGTGTCATGGGTATAAATTCTGTTAATTAAAAGACGTATGGAATACGTTAAGCTTCGGGGAGAAAAAAATAACATCGATAAACTCACGACGAACAGGTAAGTGCAGTAAGCACACTCATCAATGTTTCACGAAAAAATTCTAAAGATGGATAGTTCGATAGAAATGAATAGAGTTTATAGATCCTCCTCCAACAGACGTTTATCAATTTCGATCAAACTTTCTACAATCATATAGGTATGTACGTACATAAGAGTTCTGTGGGATATATCGAAATTTTCAAGGTCCATGAAACCCGTCGCACCCGTTTTCAAACAAGTCGATTATGTAAGCGAGAAAAAGCCTCACGGCAATACGAAAGAGAATAAGAAGAAACGATGCCAGCTGCTCTTTATCGTTGTTTCGACTTTGTTCATCCTATTCCTCGAAAGAAATCCCCCCTTGCCCTTTTTTCCTCAAATTTTTTATCCCAATTCGTACGAATTGTTCGTTCTAATGGTTCAAAAAAAAAAAAAAAAAAAAAAAAAAACAATTTATGATGACCTCAAACACATACAATAATACGAGACAATAGGATATATGAAAGAATTTGACATGTAAAGATATAAATCATGGGTATACATTTCATATTAGAGGGATGTATTTTACTGGCAATATCTAATTAATAATCACCACCATTCTAGTCACGTGTACCGTGT